AGATCTGCCAAGAAAAATGGCTCAGAGACTTGGATGGTGCCAACTTCTCTCCCTCCCACATCCTGGAGTGGGTATAAACCCCCTCTGGAGGTTTCCTTTTCTCTGAGCAGCGTCAGAGGTTCTAAATAGGGCAGAGGAGGCAGAGATGGAGTTGTTTGAATTCTTGTGGAGCCTTGTGGGGCCATAAGCATTATGGGTTCACATTTATATTGTTGAAAAAGTTGAGGGTTATCCCAAAGTGAAACATTAGTGGACATAACAAACTTCCAGTCCTTGCTTTTCTCTCTCTTACAGAACAATTCAGACTGAAAGATGGTGTTGTAATTTATACTTCCCTCCAGCTACCACTTTTTCCCATCTCCCAGGGAGCTTACAGGCCATGCACAGGTGCAGAAAAGGATTAAGCAATGTTTCTTTAAAGTCTGAGGTCAAAGGAGTCCCAATATCTCAGCATGTGCTCCAGGGAGGTGTGGGAAACTGAGGTTGGCAGCAGTGGTCTCATTTTGAAAGATGAGGAGGGAGAAGGTGTCCCTATCGATCCCCCTTGGGCTGTCCCTATGGCTGAGGTGTCCCTCAACTTGTATCCCTCCAATGCAGGCAGCTATGCGCTGGAGTTGCCAGAGGAAATGGGTGGGGCGGACTGTCCACCCTCACGGGCACATGTGCCTCTTTTCCTCACGATCCTGTGACGCCGTGGTCCGTACCAGCTACTGGTTTCTCCTTTCCCAGCCCCAGTTTACATCTCTGCATATACATCTGGATCGCAGCTGCTGTCCTCCCTGGTATACTCCAGAGAGATCAAGACAGGAGTGAGCGGTTCCCTGGAGACCAGTAGGGTTGTAGCAGTTACCTCCCTTACTATCTGCTGTGGCCCAGATTTACCATCAACCCCGCAAGGGTCCATAAAATTGTTTGCTGTTTTATCAAGGAAATCGCCTGTACTTTATAAGCAGGGACACTGACCCCCTCTTGGGAGACTCATAGTCCTCCCTGTTCCAGCCAAGAATATCAGATGCCTGGTAAGTACCTTTGCAGGCGCTATTCCTTCTGGAGGAGAGCAGTAGAGGGAGGGGACATAAGAGTCCGAAAGGATGGGCCTAATCCAGCAATATTTTCCTACACAGGGCACGAGAACTTTATCTACCGGGCTCAATGCTGCCTCCCAAGCCTCTGTATGGACCATCATGTCATCTGCAAACAATGACAGCTTAACTTCTTTATTTCCTATCTTTATTCCTTTTATTTCTTCCTCTTGTCTAACTGCTGTGGCTAATGTTTCTAGAACTAGATTGAACAGGAGTGGTAAATACCGAATAATTTCTCTGGTGTGAGAACATGAAAATGTCAATAAGGATCAAAACGTATAACAGATAATCTGAAATAGGAAGCAAAGGTCAAAAGGGGAAGGGGGGTGGGAGGGGGAGGGTAAAGGAAGAAATATGAGAAAAGGAAAAACTGGAAACAGTCTTTGTAAATAGGGAGGGGCGGAGGGGGTGAAGGGAGGGCAGAGGAATGGGGAAAAAATGAGAACTGAGATCATGTAAAGGTACAAGATCCCAGTGATGGCTGTATACCTGTATACCTAAAAAGTACCAATGAACTCAATTAAAAAACCAAACCAAACAAAATCTGGGGGTCAGGGGTTGCAAATGGAGAAATGGGGGAGGAAAAGAAAGCACTCTCCAGCCTGGCTCTTACCTCCTTAACCATCCCGGATGGATCCTCAAAGCTTTTACTGTCCAAGCCAGGTTGGTGTCTCATAAAGTCGAAGAATGAAACTGGAAAAAAGAGGCAGTTAAGAGGAGTGTTTACTGGAGGTATATGATAAAAGAAAGCTCTCAATAGGCAGAAAAGAATCCCAAAACAAGGTTGCCAGCCTGGGCTTTTTGTCCAGGGTCTTCTGTACCTAGGTGGTCAGGTCTCTGGCCATAACAGATCAAGATGGACTTCGCCTAGAGAATTTGGGTCTGGACTGTCCATGTCCTAATATGACTGAAAGAAAAATGGTGCGTGCAGTGGCCGAGAACTGATCAAGTCCTCTGCCCCGCCAGGAAGCTTGGGGCTTAATTAAGGAGCACAAAGTGAAAGGGAGAAAGTCAGTTGTAGCAATCATGCCCCTGTGTTTTCCTTTTTTGTTTTGTTTTGTTTTTGTACTTTTGTTTTGTTTTGTTTTTGGTACCAGGAATTGAACTTGGGTCCTTGTGCTTGCAAGGCAGGAGGCAGAGCCACTGAGCTAAATCTCCAGCCCTTCTCTGTGTTTTCTTTACATTCCCTAGCTTAGTGATCTATGATTTGTGTTAACCCTTAGCTCTGTATGCATGCTGATTTCTTTGTAAGGCTAACTAGTCCTACTTGATCTGAGGCCTCTGAGGCCTCTGAGGCCGTGTCCCTTCCTAGCTGACTATTTATAAGCTAATAGCTAAACAACCTCTTATAGAGTCATGCATTAGAAGCTAATCCAAAGCCTGATGAGGAATGATTGCTTAAAACCAGGAGCTCTAGATCAGGCAATTCAACAGAGTATTGACATGGTTTTAAAAATAGATGATATGAGCTGGGCATGGTGGTGCCTATCTGTAATCCTAGCACTTGAGAGGCTAAGGCAGGAGGATTGCCACAAATTCAAGGCCAGCCTGGGCTACATAGTGAGTTCAGGGCCAGCCTACACTACAAAGGGAGACCCTGACTCAAAAAACAAAAACAAAAACAAAAGCCAGATGATATGAAGATGAATAGATAGGTAGATAGATAGGAAGGGTATTCAAATACAGAGTTTTTTAAAAATATGATCCAAAGTAAGCTAAAAACCATGACAAAGAAAATAAGATTTGGATTGTAATCTTTCCTTATTTGAAAACTTACTACAGTGGTATAGTAACCAAAATGATGTGGTACTTGAATAAATATTCACATATAGACCAAGAAAATGGAATCGAGCATTTAGAATAAGTGCCCATATTGGTCATTTGATCTTTGACAGTTAATGTTACTTAATAGCTGAAGAATAATCTTTTCAAGGGGCTGGGGATTTGGTTCAGTGGTTTGATTGCCTGCCTTGAAAATGCAAGGTCCCAGGTTCAATCCCTGGTACCAAAAAAAAAAAGAATAATCTTTTCAAAATGCATTGCAACCGTTGAATAATGACATGCAAAAGAACAGTATTTTGGAAACCTACTACTCACTATGTTAAAAAATTAACTAAAATTGATGAATGACTTAAACGTAAGTGCAAGTTTCATTTTCTTTTTAAAAACTATTAGGAGGGCCAGGGATTTAGCTCAGTGGTGCCACCACCACCTGCTTTGAAAGCACAAGTTCCCAAGTTTGATCCCTGGTAGGAGAAAAAAACTATTAAGAAAAAATATATAGCGGTAAATATTTATGACCTCCAGTTTGGCAAAGAATTTTTAGATGTAACACAGAATCATGAGCAACAAAGCATAAAATCTTGACTCACATTTTACTGGAATTTTAGTGAATGATAGCTAGAACATTCAAATATAGATTTTAAAAATATCCTACAAATTTTAGGTATCAAAATATATTATTAAGAAAGAAAAAACTGCCTACAGTGTAGGAAATGACGTTTACAAATAATATATGTGGTAGAAGTTTCATATCTGCAATATGAGAAGAACTGGTCTGACTCACCAACCAAAAGATAAAGAACATAGTCAGAAAATTGGCAAAGATCTTCAACAGACCTGTCTTCAGGTATACAGAGGGTCGCGAAGCCCATGGAAAGACACTCGATCTCACAACTCATTTTGGAAATGCCAATCAAGTCACAGTGAGATGTCACGCCACACCTCCCGGGGGTGCTGTAATACTTGGTAACGAAAATGTAATATAGCAAGCTTTGTGAAGAGCTGGAGAGATGGGAGTCCTCGTGCACTACTTAGGGACAATGGAATACCGCAGTCACTGGAGAAAACTGTTCCTAACTTAGCTAAGCAGTGCTGTCCTGGGAATAGCTCTCCCTCCGCTAGACATGGACTCAGAGAATGGAAAACAGGGCCTTACGTAGGCACCTGCTCACCGCAGCGTTCTTCCCGTAGGCAGCATGTGGGGACGGCCCAAGAGTCCATCAACAGAGGAATGGATAAAAGAGGTGGGGCACGCGTGCATTCACATGTTAATTGGCCGCAAAGATAAAGTTGTGGTACAAACTATAACACAAAAGAAGCAGCAACCTGAAAACGCTGCCCTGAGTAAAATAAGGAAGAAAGGAAATGTCATTGACTCCAACAAGTCCACATAAATACAATACAGAATACCCAAATTCATAGAAACTATTCTAGAGGTGATCAAGGGAACCAGCTAGGGGAGCGAGTGGAGTTACTGCTCAACAGCTATGGAATTCTTGTTCAAGGGATAAAAAAAAAAATCTAGATACTTGAACGACATTTAGATGTAGTACTTATTTATACATGTCAAATAGTTAAGCTAGGCAGAGGTATTCGTGTTATGTTTATCCTACAACAAATTTGAAAAGCTGTTAGAGAAGATACGACCTTCCCATTCAGCTAACCTGTACGTCCCTCATGACCCGTGGCAGGAAAATCCAAGAACATAGACACTGAGCCTTCCACTGACGACACGGCCTCCTCCAGGCTGGCGCTGTCTCCCTCCCAGGTGTTGCTTTGAAACCTCAGGGACAGATGGCTCCTTCGGAAGCCATTCATTGCCTAGAAACAGTTCTCTGACTCTGGATTAAGAGTGTCCCCCAGGACTCCTGTCCTCTCCCCGCTCATCCTGCACAGCCTAGTGTTACAGCCTGGTGTTGCAGCCTCAGGGAGCAGGACCCAGGTCCAGAGCCCACTGGGTCCAGAGCTTGGGATCAGCCCATGCAACGTGCAGCCTGCCAGTGGACACAGGTCTCCTTCGTCCTCCCAGGGGTGACCGGGACACATAGTCAACTCCCAGGAAATGGATTTCCAGAGACATGAACCTGGCTTTGGTTGAGGAGGTGGAGAGGCAACGCCATTTGCATCCACTTCCCCAACAGAAACGGCTGTGTCGCTGCCATGTGCCTCCTCAGTCCCATTCACCCCATGGGACTCTGCGGACCCTGCTCTGCTAGGTATCCCCGGTCACCCCAATCCTGCTAACCCTCGTGTGAAAGGAGCTGAGGTGACCATTAAGAGTCAGCAAGAAAGAAGACAGAGGCTGCCCGTGGAGGACATGGGCAGGACTGACCAACAACCTGGCCAACACACATCGACAGCAGAGGGATCCCTAAAACTTTCTACAGAAGACAAGGCCACTACGGCCATTTGTCCTCCCACCACCGCAGTCTATTATCTGCAACACACAGGTCACCGCCCATTGCACACTCAGGACCTGCAGATCCTTCTGAGACAACTGTTTATGGGTCACTGTCCTTGGGTCTGAGGTGAGGTTGATGACGGCAGACACAGCGGACAGGTCCCCCTCACCAATCCTCACTCAACTGGGCCCTTTCTAGCCTCTGCAGCCACGTGTCACTTTTTTGCAGTGAGCGAATCTCATCTTCCTAGCATATTTCAAACAGAGAAGACTGAACGCCAAACTGGGTTTCTGTGTCACAAAGGAAACACGTCCCTGTATTTGGGGTCCCCAGATGCTCCCTGTGGTGTTGACAGCCCCAAGGTCAAGATACCCCCCGAGTACACAGGGCCTAGATTACCAAAAGGGCACACACAGGAAAGGGAAAAGGGACAGGAGGCAGCACTGAGAAGGGAGGAGACAGAGAGGTGCCCTGGACAGAGACACTGTCACCCCCAGCTGACCGTGACCCTGGGAAATGGTCCTGCCCAGGGGAGGAGGCTCAGCTCAGTGGGAGGAAGAACAGCAGACCCAACACGCCTCAGCAGTCCTGCTTGAGAGCTCTTCTAGAGGCAAAGCTCTTCTCCATATAGGAAGGACAGAGCAAGCAACAGAGACCATGAAACCATCTTCTGGCCTCCCCAGCGGAAGGCTCATCCCCTGGCAGGGGCTCCTGCTCACAGGTGAGAGGGGCTGAATTCCTGCTAGTAGGTGGGAGGGCACGAGCACAGAGACTGGCTGGGCTCTGCTGGGGAGGTCAAGACCCTGAAAGCAGGCACAGGGTTTCTGTTTGGACCCTGAGGGGAGAAGACACGAAAGAGGGCAAATGTGTCCGTAACGGGAAACTCTCAGTGAACTGGAATTGATGAAGGAAAAGCTCCACTGGACTCTGTTCCAAATCAATCAGTGGAGGGCACTGTATGGTGAAAATTGCTATTAACAGCTCTGTCCATGAGACATTCCATATAAAAACACAACTAAAGCATTAACCACTGTTCTGAGCCAGTAAGCTCAGAATCTGCCCTCCCACAAAAGACCCACACCTACGGGGCCCTGGGAGCTTCACACCCACAGGTGTCTGAGCCTGTTCCAGGCACAGGGCTCCAACAGTGACCAGACAGGTCCCTGCACTCACAGAGCCTCTGTTCTAGTGGTCAGGAGCACGGGCCAGCAAGGACATCCAGAAGAGGAGGGGTGGTGTTGACAACAGCCTTGGAGTGAACAGAGCAGAGAAATGTAAGAAAGTGAAGACCCAGGGTCTCCCCAGGACGTGGTCAGGGAAGGCATCTCCCCGCGATGTCCTGGATGTGAGTGGAGACCTAAGGGCAGCGAGGGGGGAGCTGTGGGGTGAGCTGGGAAGAGCGCTCCAAACAGAGGAAATGACAAACTCAAGGGCTAGAGGAACCCGGTAGAGGGCCAGGGATTTAGCTTAGTGGGACCACATCTGCTGCACAAGTTCAAGGTCCTAGGTCCTAGGACCTAGGGATGATCCCCGGTACCACACACACACACACACACACACACACACACACAGGACCCAGGGCCCATTTTAACATCCAAATAGGAAGATCTCAGTGTTAATGGACTTCTCTCTCCTCCCTCCTAGCCTCACTTTTAACCTTCTGGAACCCACCCACTTCTGCCCAACTCACTGTTGAAACCATGCCCTCCATCGTGGCTGAAGACAGTAATGTTCTTCTACTTGTCCACAATCTTCCAGAGAATCTTCGACTCTATCGCTGGTACAAAGGAGCAAATATATTCAAGAGCCATAGAATTGCAGTATATGAGACATCCACTCAAGCAGTTAGACCAGGTTCTGCATATAGTGGTCGAGAAACAATCTACCCAAATGGGTCTCTGCTGCTCCAGAACGTCAGGCAGGAAGACATGGGCCTGTATACCCTGATAACTGTAAATACATCTCGTCAGACGCAACAGGCATCTGGACAAGTCCAAGTATACCGTGAGTGACTTTCTACCACCCCTGGGTGAAGGGCTGGGGTTAATTCTACTTTACACACACAGGACTACCACTGTAGCCCCTTCTCCTTCTGCATTACTGTCCCCACATTAGAGTTTGAGCATTGAGTGCAGGACACACACTGTGGAGATAAACTTCAATGGATCAGAACCCTTCCCCTCAGTCCATACAGCAGAGAGAAGGACAGCCTAATGAGATACCAGCCCAGTGAAATCAGCCTCACCCCAGCCCCCAACAATCTCCCCCATCAACATGGCCCTGAGAAAGGCCCAGATAGACAGCTTCACGTCCTGGATAGAGACCCCCTGGGATTCTGCAGAAGAGTTCAGCTCCAAGAATTTTCTGCCCCATTCCTTTGTCCTAGGCTCCTGATTCCAGGTGACAGCGGGGAAGCTGTGGCCAGGAATGGACTTTGGTTTCTCATCAGAACTGATGGGGAACAACTTTCGTGCTGTCCAGACAGCTCCTGGAACTGGGCAGCAGCGGGGCTCAGCCTTGAAAGCCACATCTGGGTGAGGCCGGACCTGGTCTTTCGCCTGACCCTCGCTCCCTAAGTCATCGGTCATCCACCTTGGTAGACTGAGGAGACCGCACGGAGAGAAACAGAAGCAGAGGAGAGTAGTTTTCTGGCAGCACCTTGTCAGACTAGGATCGGGCCTAGTAACCCTCTCTTGGGACAGGCTATCATAGGTGCTGGGTTTGGGGGCAGGATCTCTATCTCAGGCTTTGGGTGAGATGATTGTGAATATTTTAAGGCGATGTCAGAGACAACATGATGGGTCAGATTCCACGTACACGTTGCACAATTTTACTAAAAATAACTGAATCACAAAGGAATACAACAGCTGGATCAGTGTCACACAGACAACGGGTTTCATATCGGGGCACAGACATCTGTTTGCCACTATAACCCGTCATTACCACCCTTATCGGACATATGTTGAATTCAAAACCCGTCATTGGATCAGCTCTTTCGTCCTAAGCATTAGCATTTTGTGGGGAGCATGCTTGGTCTGAGAAATGACAGGAAGATGAAATCATATTTTATTGTGGGACCCAACCACCTACATCAACTCTAATTCAGTGGGAGAACTTCCAGGCCTCCCCTTAGATGGCTGGCCTGCCGCCACCCTCACTACCCTGAAATCTCAGATTTCCGGGACGTTGGTTGTCACTCACTGGAGTGTAAAGCAGAGGACTTTGCTTTCTCGCTGCCCACGAAGCTACGACTGGTACAGGGTACAGTGTGCAACCATTTCTCCGTAATTGCACAACGAAGGAGGGAAGGATTATAAAGGTGCATGAATGAATGAATGAGTGAGTGACCTAGAAGGTCTTAGGAGACTGTGAACTCCGTGCAAAGTCCTGGGAGGATCTGACCGCACCTGCTCCTTGTCGCTCCTGGCCCCTGAGACCTTGTTCCATCTTTCTGACCACCTGCTCCTAAGGGCGCACGATGACCCGGGGCTGCTGGCTGTGGGAGGGTTTTCGGTGTCATGATGCTGGATCCTTTCTGAGGCAGCCGTGGGGCTCTTGGTCTCTGGGATCTTTGAAGGCACTGAAACCACACTGCTCACTGCCTTTGGCCTTTCTGGCTCTCTCGCCCCTTCCCTGCCCTTGGTCTCCCTTCCCCTTGTTCCATCTGGGATCTTGCCTGCTCTGCACAGCTTGCTGCACTTTTATCTTCTTAGAATGAGGCTGAGCGACCTGCTCCCTTCCACGGATTCCAGGGGGCCGATCCCTGCCCCAGGCAATAGTAAAGAAAGAAATCAGTCAAAGCAGCTGTCCTCGGCAGGCTCCATTAGGAGCCAGCGTCCCCCACTGTGTCTCCCTCAAAGTTCTTTGTTTCCTTGATGCCAGCTCATAGAATAGGCCATGAGACAGGGCCCATGGCCTCCTCTGTCAACTCTCCACGCTGATTCAGCCAGGAATCAGAGGCAACCGCACGGCATTGCAAGCCCCAGAGCCTGTTTCCTTCCACCAGTTTCTCTCCTGAGTCCATCCAGGTCCCCGTGCGGGGCTCACATCCCTTCGGTGACTCCCAGAGCTTCCCCAAGGGTGCTCAGTTGGCAGGTGTATCTGATGGGCCGTTGTTCAGGCACCTGTGTCCTCATGAGGACACCTGTCGCCTCAGGGTGGGTCCTCACACACAGCAAGATGTGCCAGCGACTGTCATTTCATTTAGGCTCTGCCTTACCTGGAAGAATTTAGTAAAACTAGTTGTGTTTCTAGGGATGGGGTCAAAAGGAAGCAAAAACAATCTCACATGCCTGTGCTAGGTTCTGCCCATTTTGCCTCACTCTCCGTAGTGGCTGAGGACATAGATTTTTCTAAATATGCTAATATGGCAAAATACTTCTCAAGTTGGTATTCTCCCTTGTTTTATACGACAGCGACAATTCAGTCTTCCCCTCTCACCAGCTCTGTCCTCCCAACAGGCCTCGCAGATCTTTTTCTACTCCGTGAGTCTCTGGTTCAAAACCAACTAGAACACTGGCCTTTGATCACATTGTGATCTGTAGAGCCGAAAACTTTATTGTGCTGTCTAGGTACATATTCCTTCCAGGAATGGGTCTTGGATTCCGGGCCTCATTAACATTTTTACATATTTAAGAGAGGTAATCTCAGATTTCTATCCCAGGTCTGTCCAACACCTGGACCATGGGGGCCAGGGCTTCAGCGTGCTCGGGTCCCTCACTTTCCAGCGCTCATTCTGAATGTGAACTTATCCACCTGTACTTCAGGAAAGACCCACATGGTCCTCGCTTGCCCTTTGCCGTGGGAGAAGAGACATTAAAAACCAAGGGCAAATTGTGGTGTTCGTACAAGGTCTGTCTGTCCCACTCACTCGCTCCTACGTCATTCCTTGGATTCATGCTGTCTTTTAGGTGTCACTGGCTCGCGGCAGTCACCATGAAATGTGTCAGCAGAACTACTCCAGCTTGTGGCCTCAGACTGACCCCTGAGCTAAATGTTGGGCCTGCTTCTGATCCTCTTGTGTGCTCTCTTTGCTCATGTGTCCAGCCCTCAAGCCAGGCTAAGAGGTCTTGTGGTTTAAGACCAATGGGGAGGTCCCACCATGACCCATCTCTAGGACAGCCTTGCAGAGCAAAGCCTCAGAGGAAACACGCCTCAGCTGAGCAATCGAGGTCTGAGGGTAGGGGGTTTCCGCACCCCATGACTTGAGGGAAACCGGGCAGCTGAATAGGAGAAGCGTAGAGGGTCTGTCTTCGGCTTGTCTATGATCAAACACTGCAGCTCAGTCCAGGTGGGAGAAAGCCTGTGCTTCTCCCAGTCACAGCCCAGGGGGTCCCACATCCTCTGAGCACTCAGATCCTTGGGCATCTGCCTGGAAGATTCTCCACCGCCTTGCCCTTTAAGAACTCAGGTTGGCTGGGAGGTGAGAGAGGCCGACTCTGGCAGAAAGACGTCTTTGCAGGGATCATAGGTATCTCACAGCATAACCTTCTGTCTGTCTTCTGCACAGCGATGCTACCCAAACCCTCCATCACAAGCAACAACTCCAACCCAGTGGAAGGACAGGACTCTGTAGAGCTAATGTGTGAACCTGAGATCCAGAACACGACCTACCTGTGGTGGAGAAACGGTCAGAAGTTCCTAGGCAGTAACAGGCTGAGGCTGTCGAAGGGCAACACAGCTCTCACTTTACTCCGTGTCACAAGGAACGACACAGGACCTTATGAGTGTGGAACCTGGAACCCACTGAGTGCCAACCAGAGTGACCCAGTGACCCTGAACATCCTCTGTGAATAACTTCTATTCCTCCCTGACCCCGGCTGCCAGCTCAACACACAGAGTCAGAGTCCAGGACAGTCAGTCCTTCACAGGTTCAGGTACACGCACCCTCACCCCTGGAAACCAGGCTGGCCAAGAAGTCCCATCCCAGACATCTGCGCAGGCCCAGCCTTGAGCCAGGGAGAGGAGAGGAGCAGCTAAACAAACTCAGAATTGACCACCTGTGAGAGGGAAAACAGCTGAATGTCTCAGCTTCAGGGAACGCTGAGGGTTATAGCTGGAGTGTGTGTGTGTGTGTGTGTGTGTGTGTGTGTGTGTGTGTGTGCGCCCGCGCGCGCGCTCTGTACACTAGGAAAGCACTCTACCACTGAGCTACACCATCAGCCTGGTTGGCGCTTTTAAAACAAAATTGTGACAAGGCTCAGGGGATCACTCGGCCTTCTAGAAGCCACGAGCTTCCCTTTTACTCTATTGATCTCCCGGGTTCCTTTCTTCTGTTCACTCCAGATGGACCGGATACCCCCCTCATATTGCCCACAGATTCATATTTCCGTTCAGGAACAAACCTCAGTCTCTCGTGCCACGCAGTCTCTAAGCCACCTGCAAAATTTACCTGGCTTTTCAATGGAAGGATCTTGAGATCTACACAGCAGTTTGTTATCCCCAAAATCAGCGCAAGAAATACTGGATACTATACCTGCCTTGTCCATAATTTTGCCACTCACCTGAGTGGGACCATAGTCAAGAATATCACAGTCTTTGGTAAGTGAATGCCGAGGCGTCTGAACTGAGCTCTGGGTAAAGTCTTTGGTTTCCTAGAGAGGAGCCTGGAAGATCTGACTCCCATCCTGTGTCCACAGACACCTGCAAATCCCAATCCTCTCCAGACCCTCCTGCTCCAAACCTAAGACTATCTCCTTGTTTTCCACCTCTAATTTTTCGTGGCTGAAGAAGCTCTGGGCTAGAAAATGAGTAGGGTTGGGGATTCCCCCGTCCAAGAAAGCATTAGCAATTGGGAGGAGATTCACAGAGAAGGGCAGGAAGGGTCATCAAGGTCAGAGTCTCTTTCTGTCACTCTCACTCCTCCATTTCTGGTCCCTGTTTCAATTTACCTCCTCCATGAGCTACAAGAAACACAAGAATTTGAAACACATTCACATTCTTTTCCCCTAAAAGAGATGGAAATTCTTCCCTATCCCCAGAGAGGAAGAGTGGTTCAGAGCTATGCTCCAGGCTCATGAGACGAAGAGCTCTGTGAGCGGAGCAGGTGCCTGGAAACACTGCCTTGAATGTACCCTGATTCTGTCCAAAGGACACCAGAGGCTCCCCAGGCCCAGTTGCAGGGCAATGTGAAAAGTGAGCTTGGGAGCTGACACCTCAGAGCTGTGTCCTGGCACAGAAGCCCCCGCTGAATGAGGCCTCGGGCAGAACCACAGGCGACTCGCTGTGGAGAGCAGTGAGCGTTGCACAGCTGGAGACTCAGAGCTTCTCTGCGGAGCCCTTGTGTGGGGTTAACCGGCAGTGCCAAAGGAGTACGTGGGGCGGGCAGCCCTTTGTGAGCACTCAGACCAACTCTGTACAGATTTCGTTCACTGTGACATTCCCTCTGGGGTCAGGAGATACCGTCCCTCTCATTTTCAAAATTATTACGAATTTATTTATGTTTTTGTACAAGTTCCCGGCATGCAATTCCATTTCCTCTTTAACAGAGAAATCCTTTCACTTTGACCCTTCGTCAAGGCGTAAGAGCACATTGACTGGGTAGGGCCGCGGTCGTGCCTTAGTAATTACTTTTCAAAAGTACACGCTTTCACTACTTCACATACATCTCTCTGGCCCCGGCACGGACAGAGCTAATAAAGCCTTCTTTCCTAACATACAAGAAAGTCTATGCCGGAAAAGGGGGCCTGCTCTGTCCTAAAGGGTCCTCTGAGAAGCGTGCGTTAGAAACTGAGTCCCCAGCGACATGAGAAGTGGCCCGGCGGAAGAAGAGCAGATGCTGAGGGTTCCACACTCGTGAAGGCTCCCTCGCAGGAGTGGCCCAGTCACTGCAGGCGTGGGCTCCTCACGAACGTGGGAGCTCAGCCCCTTCCCTCCTGTTTCACATTCACCCTCTTCGCACGCAGGACAACTTCACCCCTGTGGGGACATAGGCTGACAGTGTAACTGAGCAGGACACAGAGTCAAATTCAGGACCTGAGCAAGATCCTCCCCGGCGGTGCCCAGGGCCCCTCACCCTGCACACCCCCATTTTCCACTTTACACCCTGACCTGGTCTCTCTGGAACAAGCTTCCTGTTCACACTCAGTTGTCCAGGGCAGACGGCCAGGGCCCCCAGGTGACAGAACCAAAATCTCCTCCCTGCCCTGCCCTGCGCTGCAATTTCCCAGCTGTAATTTCCTCCACGCACCTGGGCTGCTGCTCTCAGTCCTTCCCTGAGGCCCTGGGCAGGTCCCTGGGTGATGTCTACACACGGCCTCACTCACACGGGAACCACGTTCCCACAAACAAGCTGGTCCGTGCACTAAAGCTCAGAGCGCGTCCTGCCGCTGCCTGAGTGTTGTGTGTCCTGATCTGAGAAGAGGGGAAACCATCCATAGAGTTTCCTATTGTGATTTAGCTCCCTCGAGTCCTTATCTCAAATTGACGTATCTCAGGTTAGACAAGGAGGCTTCCCATGCATTTGCTTCCTGTTGAATCTGTGACGAATTGCTACAAACACAGTGGCATAAAACCCCAAAAACGGAGGTGTCAGTGTGGGTGTCCTCTCTCTGGAGGACAGTCCACTTCCTCATCCCAGTCAGCCTCTGGCAGCCTCTACCTCCATGAGCTCTGCCCCCCTCTGGCATCTTTGAGACCAGAAATGCAGCTCCTCTGGACCCAGCTGCCTAAAACCCAAGACTCTCTTGAGCCCATGATGTTTAATGAGCTCTGTAAAGTGTCCTTTTCATGACACATGATCACAGATGGTAGGGGCAGATGAGATGACTTGGAAAGGGGTTTGCTGTATCCATCACACCTCTCAAGGCTATTGTGTCCTCTTCTTTTCACTAAAAACTACGCAGGGCCATCTGGATTCAGGTGAGCAGACTGCAGTGTCAGTTCCTGCAATGGCATCCTCAGCACCCTCCAGCTCCTGAGAGAGATGAGGTGGGGTGTAGCCACACCATACTCCAGAACCCCCGCACCTCTTCCTCCCTGGTGATCATGCTCAGCAATTAGGAATTCTTAAAAGACACTGGGAGCCCACCTCCTTCGTTGGCACCACGGACAGCGTCCCATGCCTGTGATTCCCAAGGTGTTGCTGTCCCAGGGAGGATGACAAGGGACTGGTGACAGGGCTTCCGTTTCCATTCTACAAAGGAAAGGCACAGTAGAAAGCTTTTCAGGGATGGTCTGGGTCTCCTCTAATTTGTACTGTGAGTCCTCTGCACGCACTTGATGTTAGGGTTTTTCCCTTGCTTGGCCAGACTGCTATACCCGGCTTTCGGAAGACTGGCTGTCTGTTCCAGCCTTCCAGTGAGTGTCTCTGGCCCAGACACTCCAGGACTGAGGTTTAGTTTAGTGGTCGCCTGTGTGCTCAGGGATCCTCCCGGGCTTGGAGGGGGTGGGTCCCTCCTCATATCTCACATCTCACCTCTGAGCAGTTGCCTGGGCTCTCTGGGCCCTGTCCTGGAGCTTTCTGCCTCTGTGCTGGGTCATCCTTCTCATGTCTTCGGGACACAACCTCGGCCCCAACAGGTGGATTTGAGGCTGTGTCTCTCCAGGAGTCCTAGTTCTCACCACATAAAACTGCTCAGACACTGTAGCCTCCCTTCACCAGGAGTCTTATGCTCCAGATCCCTGAACACCAGGGTCCCTATCTTAGAATCCAGGACAATGACAGACACCTGCCCCCACACCCAAACCCAAGGCCCAGGTCTGAGCAGAGTCAGAGCATGAGACACCTCGGGTTCTACCTAGGGTTCCATGTGCAGGTCCCTGTCTTCCCTCTGTTGAGCTCAGAGGACGCCTCAACCCCACATGCAGAGCACAGCCTGAGGTCTGTGCCGACCCTCTGCGTGGGTTGGCACTGCAGAAACAGCAGGCGTGAGGCAGCTCTACTACCAAGCTCTACTCCCCATCCCACCCCTCCTTGTGTCTAGGACAGGAACAGACACAGAACAGACACCTCTTCTCACCCTCCAGTCCCTCTGCTCTTCTCCCCAGCCCAGCTGAGCCAGGACATCTTCATGGCTGCTCTTGTCCTAGAAGACAGGTTCCGGTTTCGGCATTCCTGCCTAGAGCGCCCTCTGCTCTCTGCTCCACGATCTCAAACGTACCCATCTCCCTGCCTCATGACCACGCTCCTCAGCTACCTGCTCCCCTCTGTCTTCCCTGATCCCGAGCACAGAGACGTAGCTCTCCTGGTCCACCCACTCACTGCTCACCGTCAGCCTCTGGAGTCATCATCGGTTTCCACGGGAGCCACCTGTGCTAAGGACAGAACCCCGTGGAACCGGAACTCCTAGAGGAACCGCAGAGGGAGCTGCTCGGCATATCCAGGAACCCCGGCATCCGGTCCGTCACAGAGAAGGGCCAAGAGTGCTTCCAGCAAGGACAGGTGACAGGTGGATGGCTACAGATGAACAGGGGTGGTGGTGGACAGAGGAGTGGCCGTGGGATGGCGCCCACTTTCTACTCCTGGAATCACTCCAAGAAGTGAGGATGCTGGAAGCAGACTCTCACGGACTCCTGACGAGACTGCAACTCAGGATCCACACAACCTTGTCCTCGGCAGATTTAATGTGTGCAGACATTGCCTAGCTTCCTCCTTCTGAGCCTCTTTGAGCTGAGGCTGAAAAATGATGAGACTGGAACTGCCCTGTCGCCACCTTTGCCGGCAAGCAGCCCACGTCCTGCGCAGGCGCGTCGCGCTTGTGACGAAGGAAAGGAACGATCTCCGGGAGCCGCACTCCACACAGTCAGAAAATGAGGACATCCCTGCCTGCGGAAGAGCTCATCAGGATGGGAGACAGGGATGCTCTCCAGAGCAGCTGCAGGGTGTGGACGAGCATCACAGTGTGGCTGAGCAGCAGAATTGAGAAGAACCCATAAAACAAAACGCCCAAATCCACATATAATCATGTAGGAGGTGCCCTCCATGCATGCGTCACCGTGAGAGAACATTCCCGAATAGTAACTTAATTCAATGGCATCTGGCTGCAAATTCAGAGTCAGACAAATGAGGAAATATTATTGCAATATTCACATTATTACCAAAGGTTACACAGTGTCCTCAAGCTCTGAGGATACCCATCTAAAATAACCTGCCCTCTGTCTCTGGTCTAGAAGCTGAACTTGGGAGTGATCAAGAAGACAAGAAATGCAACACTACTGCTCCACACTCCCCCTCAGCTCTGTTTACCTCCTCTGAAACACCTCAGGGCAGGGATCCCCTTTGGTGATGTGACAGGGATAGGACAGGCCTCCTTTTGGCACAGAAGAATGTGACAAAGACAGCTCTGTAGGTCAGGCCTTGTGTCAGGTCACCCCTGAGCTCTGCTCCCCAGGAGGATCCAGGAATCCTGACCTGAGCGGGTCTTGCACTCCTTGCCTTGCAGAGGGATGATGTCGTCCACCTCTACTCAAGGATCAGTGGTAGAAGCTCTAGTTTGCACTCTGCCACACTGAGACCTGAACCAAACAGGTGCCTCTGAGCCTGAGACAAGCAAAACTCAGTTCTTGCGCCTCTCTCCAAAGGGACATTATTTCTTCTACTCCCAATTCCCCTCAGAAACCTCCTACACATAATACGTCCCACCCCATTCTGCCCTGGACACACCTGTGCCTCACAGTCCCCCAAATTCCCCTGAGCATCCAGAAAGAGGCATTCACAGCCAGGGGTGTGTTTAGGGCCGTGGTGAGATGTTAAAGCAACTAGATAGAGCTTGCACTGAAATCAAGCACGTGGCAGAGGCCACCTCACTCCATAAATCCTGCTCAAGTGGGGTCTGCATGCTTATGAAACTAGAATATAAAAAGAAAACTTAAAACATCTGGTGAGAATTTAATGCCAAGCAAATCTTTATTCTGTGGATACACTGAATCCACGGGGCAACACAAGGCTTCAAGGATTGCTCTTGGGTAAGGAAAAGAAGCTACACTACCACTTTTCATATCCAAGCACAGCAGCATCTGTATTTTCTGCATTCCTCTGAGGGTATCACGTCATCACCAAACTCTTCCTGACGTCACCATTTTTCCTCACGTTCAGTAAGGATGGAGATGCGCTCCATTTGCCTTCGCCTCCCAGGAGGTGAAAATAAACAAGAACAAATCTATGCTAAGTCAGAAGGCAAGAGTCCCATCCATTTCTAATAATTCAGTCACTACAGCCGTGACCTGCCCATTAAGAGATGCTCCCTTGGGCACGGAGAAGCAGCCCGTGGGGCTCTAGGAACCCCACCCTTCTCGTGCAGTGGGGGGAAGCACATCAGAACCAGCAGGGAGCAGGACACGGGGCCAGATGACCCGACAGTCAGGCTTGTGTGTGAGTATGGGCGGCCTTAGTGATCCTCTTACAATCTCAACAGGCCAGCTGACTGCATCATAAAGTGGGGAAAGCTAACGGGGCGAGGACCCCTTCGGTCTGCTCCCACACAGTGACACCCTCCTGGGACATACCTGGAATCCCCCAAGGAGGGGAGAAGACCTGTGATTCTCGTCTCCCACTCAGATCTTGACTGTGACTAGTGAGAAGAGAAAGCCTCAACCACCACCACCCCAAATTCTGTTGGCTCTGAAAGGAGCACCGGAGCCAGAGGACACCCCAGTTCCGAGCGGAGCCCCCAGTCTCTCCCTCTGAGAAGCAGTGGGCAGTCGTGAGGGGCGACAGGTTTCCTCACTCCAAAGCCACTTCTCTGCTGAAGGAATCCCCACAGGGCATCTGGGAGGCCGAGACACTGAGGATTCAGAGGGCAGAAAAGCTCTCAGGTAGGGAAGACTGAGAGCCCTGTACCACCCTGGTTTCTAATTTCAGCGGCTCTGAGGTCATGTGGGAGGGAGACGCGATAGAGCCCTGTCCACCTGAGCACTCTGGCTCCTGTAAGTCTTCACAGACACTAGCCCTCCCCTCTCCTCCTTACACACACTCGCCTCATGGCCCGTGCACAAGGAGCTGGATCCCAGTTCTGCAGACACAGCTTGGCCAGGCTTTAGACCACACATCAGAGTTTGACGGCCGTCCATGGGCAGATCAGGGAAGGGCTTCCTTGCAAAATATTGAGAATTCAAGTCTGAGCATTTCCAGTCATTAAAATTACATGTTAACTGATAAGTGCTTAAGGATGATGCTACATAAAAACTGTTTCCTGGCTCTGCCCTTTTATACTTTCCTCACCGTCCAGCAGAGGGTGGCTGTCCCCCCGCCGGGCACCTCCTAAGGGGCTGCTGACCCTTCACTAGGGGCCACAGACCAGCAGGGTCTGAGCCACCCCAACCCAGCCTCAGCCCACAGACACCTTCCTTCTCCAAGCTCCCCCCTTCGGCTTCAGTCACCTCCACGATGAAGACTGTCCCTCCGTATTCACCTCCTGCCCTTTCACCCTGCTTTCTTCCCAGGGGAATGTCCACTGGCCTCAGGCCTCAGCCCAGAGACCCTTCCCCCAGGCTGCTCTCTGTTATCCCCTAGACCAGCTGGGGCCACACAGGCTGGGACACCCCACACCTACCCAGGCCTAGTCCTCTCTCACTCCTAACTAACTCCCTCCTCAGCCTTGCTCCTCAGAGTGTGGTGGGATCTTAAAAGGTCACGCAGGGGAAGCGGGAAGAGAACTAGGCAGGACTGAGAGGGGCGGAGACAGAGCGTCGGGCGCAGAGACCCCGCCCCCAGCCCACAGGACTCTGGGAAGCGCTGGGGCCCTGGGCGGGAGAAACAACAGAGCCGACCCGCTGAGCCGCTGACGCTTCTTCTCCACAGAAGGGGAACAGAGCAGGCAGCAGAGATCATGGAGCCCCCCTCAGCGCCTCCCCACAGAAGGCACATCCCCTGGCTGGGGCTACTGCTCACAGGTGAGAGGTCTCAATTTCCCGGAGCAGGTGGTTGCTAGGGTCTCCTGGAAAACACAAGACCCTAGAGGAGACGCAGTGCTTTTGTGTTAACGCTTGAAGGGAGAAGATGCAGAACAGAGGCAGAAGTGTCAGTAACAGGAAACTGGCAGCGAACTGGAACCAAGAAAGGAGGGAAAACTCCATTGTTCTCTTTTCCAAGGCAATCGGTTATCCCTGGCCACGATATTTTAAAAATTCATATTAAAACTCTGTCAGGGCAACTCTCCAAAGAAAAACACAACCGGGGCATTAAATATTACCCTTAGAACAAACCTCACATACCAGGCAAATAAACCCTAGGACGTGCAGGGTGCCAGGAGCCCTGACTCATCCATCCACAGGCGTCTGAGCCCACTCCAGGCACTGGGCTCCTACAGAGATCAGACCAGTGTCTGTCTTCTTAGAGCTCTTGCCCTCATCGGCAGGAAGACAGACAAGCGAGGACATCTAGAAGACAGGATCAAGTGTTGACAAGAGCCTCAGAAAGAAGGGGATGAGAAAGTGAAGACTCAGGGTCTCTAGGAGCAATGGGGAGTGAAGGCATCACCCCAGGACACCTTGAGTGTGAGCAGGAATCTGAGGGCAGCCAGAGGTGAGCCAAGGAAACACCTGGGGAAGAGTGTTCCAAACAGAGGAAAGGCCAAGTTCAGGGGCATTGAAGGAATGAAGTCCTGCTGCCGGCCCTGGCCCAGAACAGATTCATACAAAACGCTAAAACACACCAAAGCACACTTATTATACACACTCACACCCAGGCTGATGGGTGAAGACACCTGCTCAGGACCCAGAACATGATCTTTCCACTCGATACAGAGATCTGAGTGTTTTTCTTATTTTTATTGTACAATTATTGTACCAATGAATGGGCTCCTCTGTGACATTTCCATACATGCATAAATGTCATGCTTTGTTTGAGTCTACTCTAACACCCCTCCCTTGATCTCTTTTCCTATCCCAGCTAATCCTCCTTCTACTTTCAGGTTTTCTTTCTTTCTTTTCCTTTCTGCCTTCCTTCCTTCCTTCCTTCCTTCCTTCCTTCCTTCCTTCCTTCCTTTCTTCATTTTGTTTTCTTTTCATTTCTACTGATGACAGAAAACATGCCATAGTCATGCTTTGTGTCTGACTCATTTCACTTGGAGATCCCAATGTTGACAAATTTCTCTCTCCCTCCTAGCCTCAGTTTTAATCTTCTGGAACCCACCCATCACTGCCCAAGTGACTATTGAAGCAGTGCCCTTCGATGCTACGGAAGGGAAGGACGTCCTTCTACTTGTCATTCCTTTCTGTTTCTTCCTTCCTTCCTTCCTTCCTTCCTTCCTTCCTTCCTTCCTTTCTTCATTTTGTTTTCTTTTCATTTCTACTGATGACAGAAAACATGCCATAGTCATGCTTTGTGTCTGACTCATTTCACTTGGAGATCCCAATGTTGACAAATTTCTCTCTCCCTCCTAGCCTCAGTTTTAATCTTCTGGAACCCACCCATCACTGCCCAAGTGACTATTGAAGCAGTGCCCTTCGATGCTACGGAAGGGAAGGACGTCCTTCTACTTGTCCACAATCTGCCAGGGAACATTTCGGGCTATGACTGGTTCAAAGGAAAAATAGTTTACAATAGACCTGCAATTGCTACATACCTGATAGAGCCTCAGATAACTCTCCCTGGGCCTGCATACAGCCATCGAGAGACAGTCTACCCCAATGGATCCCTGCTGATCCAGAAGGTCACCCAGAAGGACGCAGGAGTCTACACCCTATTAATCGTACATACAGACTTTCTGACTCAGAAAGCATCTGGACAGTTCCATGTACACAGTGAGTGATTCTCTGTGACCTGTGAGCGTGGGATGGGTTAGTTCCACGTCACACGCGAGGACGGCCTGGGCTAGACCATGGCTCCCTTCCACTCCGCATCATGTCCACAAGTTGAGGTCTGAGAATCTAGTGCGCAATATGCTTTAAAAGAGACACACTTAGGGCTGGGGATTTAGCTCGGTGGCTTCGTGTCTGCTTTGCAAGCACAAGGTCCTGAGTTTCATCTGCAGTACCAAAAGTAAAATAAAAGAAACACTTCAAAAGATCAGAGCTACCCTCACCGAATCCAGACCCTGCGACACTTACGGCAGAGGCGACTGTCTGAAATAACTCAGCCCCATGGCCCCGTCCATGAATGTGGCTCTGAGAAACACACTGGAGGGCTTGGTCAGGGAGACCACTGGTATCCCCAAAGAGAAGTTCAACCCCAGGCAACTCCATGATCCCATCCCGGGATCCTGGCTGGATTTTATCCTCCTGTGCAGGACTGTCTGAGAACAATAAATTATCCACTGTGCCAAGCAAGAGCTCCTGGAACTGATCAACTTCCAGGCCATATCACCTACAGCCACATCTGGGCTGTCACAGAGCTGATCCTTCATCAACATCCTGGTGTAGAGGCCACAGAAGGACCAATCACCAAGTCATTAACCAACTGCCACAGGGGCCTAAGGAGATGCCTGGGGGAGGTCTGTGTTTCTGAGAGTGTTAGGGACAGCTATGGTAGGACGAAGCCTAGGACCACAAAACCGAATCCTTGGGTTCATTAAACTGTCGGCATTTGTAATAGGACTTGTTGTTTCTCTACTCTTGTACTTTTTCAAGCAGACCCATCGTGACATCCTGCTAAAACTGCAAAAGCACCATATTTGTACAAAACAAGAAATTGTCACCAAAGAAACCCCTACAGAAGCCCTCTAGCTTCATATGTTCATGGGAGATTTAAGACCACTAATTTTGGGGGTCACATAGCTGAGCAGTGCATTTTTAGTGTCCCACGAGCTTTGCTGCCAGATAACACTCTGGTGTGTGGGTCACGATTGCAGTTGTCTGGGTTACCTTGCAGAGACTTGGAGGCCACATTTCTGAACACACTGACTTCTCATTTGGGCCTGCAGATGTCTAATAGGCGACTGACATGGGATAAAAGCTTGGCATTTTTATATTGTGGTTTTTTCAAATTGTGTCTTAATGTTGTCTGTCCCCTTTGCTGCCTTAACCCTTGAGCCAGATTCTACTCAGCACTAAGCCTGCATTTGCTGATCATTTACAAAAAAATGTTTTGTCCAAGACTGTAGGGCAGAGTTAGCTTGCCCACTGTCCAGGTGGAGCTAGTGTGTACGTGGGTTGTTGTTTTTGTTTTTTTTTTTCCTGTCACTTCTCCATCTTCTCTGTCCTTGGGCTTCTTCTGCCGCAAAAGCTGAATACCTACAGCCCCTCAGCCTTTACCCAGGGCCCAGACCCACAAGGCCGAGATGTCTTGTGTGGGCAGAGGGGAGCAGCTACACACGGACGTCCAACAGCCTCTGGCACAAGTTGACCACGACTACCTGGAGGTCCGAGTCTGTCACAAGGAGAAATTTCTTTTGGAATTGAGCCCCTGCTCAACAGAGATGAACAGAACCACTCCAGTGCATGAATGAAAACTGCTTCTCTCTTTGTTCTTAGACAAGCTTGAGGTAGGTGTGTGTTTGTCTCTCTCTCCCTCCCTCTCTTTCTCTCACTGACTCCCTTCAGCTGAAACCTCTTTCCTCCCTCTGAATGAAATAATGGGTGAAAGAATGGGTGTGATTGCAACTTTAGGACCGGTCTCCAGGGAGAGAAAAGAATTTCCTGGCAGCACTTTTTTCCAAAGAAATCATGCTAGGAGCGCTGTGTCCTTGAACTTAGGGTCATCGATGCTGGTTATTTGTGCAGCTCCTTCCCATTAAGCTTTGGGTCGGATCCTGCAAGTATGTTTAGCATAATTCCCAGACCACCTGACTTTTTCCTCTATAGTGAGGAGAAACTAAAGCACAGGGAGTGCCAGGGATTAGCTCAGTGGTGCCCCCACCTGCCTCACAAGTGCAAGGTCCTGAGTTCGATCCCGGTACAATGAAAGAGGAAGGAAAGGAAGGAAAGAGAGAGAGAGAGAGAGGGAGGGAGAGAGGGAGGGAGGGCACAGGGAGACAGACAGACAGACACACACACACACACACACACACACACACACACACGAGATCAGCACCCCACCTCTTCCTCCTGTTGTCACTCACAGGATTCATGTCTCAGTGCACAATCATCCAAGCAGAAAGCAAGTCCCCATTTCCTCCTCCTCCTCCAATCACAGACCCTTTCCAGTTGCTTCTTGACCAGACTCACTGGGGAGTCAGGGCCTTGGCACTGAATCATCCCCTTAAAATCGAGAGTATTTAGCACTATGTCACTAAAATGCTCCTTTATATTTCCAAGACCCTTACCAAGTCACAGGGACCTGTTTTTTAAGGATACCCATGCAAAATTCTAGATAAAGAGTACCTGAAGGACACTAGGAACTAAGCAAACTTAAATTATCTGTAAAAGTTGCCTTTTTCTTGTATGCAAAAGCATTTGTTCCTAGAAATACTGCCCATACAATGAAACAGAGTAAGCTAACGTTGTTGCTGCTGTATAGATTATAAAACCTCCGCCCTGAGATGATTCATGGCAAAACAGAACATTGTGGAAAAGATGAATACCATAATCCTGCCACCTGCCACTAGACGTTCAGAATGCTTTTTGGCAAGTACTTGTCCAGCCTGTCACCACGGGACCTCCTAAATGGTACCCTTGTTGAACACACAACCCCTCCTGGGATTTTGCCAAGCTGTGTGTTACGGTTTGGGTCTTCATGCCCCACCCCCACCCCATGCAGTCATTTTTTTCAGAGGTGGCTGGATCTAGAGTGTGTGATGCTGGGATCAAGGGTGTGCGATTACTAAACTAGTACACTCCTTGGTTTGGCACCGCCCTGATCACAGTCATCTGGATAAGATAAAAGGGGCAGAGAGATGCTGTTCAGGTTCCCTTGTTGCTTTTGCTACGGTATGGGTACCACGAACTGGTTTCTCCTCTGTGACACTTCTCTGCCACGTGCCAGGTGATTATGGATTGAAATCTCTACAAACTGAGCTAGATAAACCCTTTCCCCTTTAACTTTGGGTGTTGGATATTTTGTCTCAGCAATAAGAGAAAAAGTAACTGAGACACAGTGCTGTTAATTAAAAGAGAGCACACCCCTTGTGGACATTCCTAGTATGGTTTGACCTCCCTGCTGGACCCTCCCTGCTGGTGTCAATTAACCGTGTCTTACCCTGACAGCACTTGTGGTAAGGCTCAGTGGATACCAAATCCGGGTCTCTCTCGACCTCTCAGCAACCTATCCCCCACTCTTAGCTGGATTCTAGATCAGACAACTAGCAAACCAGCCTCATGACCAGAGAAAGTCCTGTGAATTCTGGGCTTACGGAGACTAAAAGAGGAACAAAGCCGGGGGAAAGCCATTTATTTCCATGTTCGTGTCCCAGGGCCACTTGGGGATCTGTTGTATTCCGTTGGCTTTCCTTTATAGTGTGGTTGTTATAGTTTGTTTCTCTTCATACTGTCGTGAGATGTGGTTACAGTGTACATCTTCATGTGCCGCCTGAGGGACACTGCAGAAGCTGAGATGCTGACGGCATTCAGACACGTTAAAATGGATTGTATGTTTCCAGCACTCCTGTCAGGTCAAAAGCACACCTAGACCAAACTGTCCTGATAAATATGATCTAAAGGACACTGAGCAATCCCCATTACTACAAGTTAGTCTTCCTTTCTTCCTTTTTTTTTTTTAGATAAGGCCTCACCATATAGTTCAAGTTGGCCTTGAACTCTATATAGTCCAGGAAGGCTTCAAACTCGCAGCGATCCTCCTGCCTCACCCTCCCAAGTGCTGGGATGACAGGTGTATGCCACCACACCTGGCCTTGTACCAGTTAGTCTTAACAAATGTTATCCCCCACAAGCCACCTGTGGATATTTTCTTTGGTCTCTGACATCCTGCCGGTGTCTGGTTTGACACTCATCCAGCCATGACCAGGACGGACTCAGATCTCTCCCTGCCAGGCCATCAGCCTAAGCAGGTCTTGTGGCCAAACACAAGGTAAAGTGGAGGCAGGCACCATGATCCCCTTCTAGTGGATGGAGCTCCAAGATCAGTGGCAAAGGGAGTAGAAATGAACAGTGGAGTACAGGGTCCTACCTACCACACGAGCCACTATCTATACAAGTACACTTAGTGTCAGCACAAGTCCTGCTCCTCGAATCCTTGCAATTAAATATCTGTTCAGAGACTCTCAACTCCCTCGCCCTGAGACTGCATGTGTGTGCAGGTGTCATGACACAGCATATTCACAAAAACCTCAGGGCTCTGGCAGGATCTCAGACGGATGTGAGACAGGGTGGGGCTGGGGTCTTCAGAGAGAGTAGGACCTGCAGGAAGGGTGGGGGCAGGAGGAGCTGAGTCCTGACATGTCGAGGGGAAGATGCACAGCACATCTTTCTGCAGCCGCTGCACATAGCAAGGCTCCCCTGGGCCAGGCTGGTGCTGCCGCCCAGTGCCAACTCTGCACCTGTGTGGAGATTCATCCTGACGATGAAGCTGAAGTTTGTGCCCCATGTGGGTGGGACTGAGGATGACAGTGGCCTCTGTGGGGAACCTACAGCTCCAAACTCAAGACTGTGCCTATAGGGCCAGGGATTTAGCTCAGTGGTTCTGCTGCCAGCCTGGCAAGTAGAAGGACCCTGGTACCAAAAAAACAAAAACAAGGCTGTGCCTATAAAACACAGAAATACCCTCATATTTCTTGTCAATTCCTAAGTCCCTGCAGATGACTACTGCCACCTAAATTATCAAGGTCAGTGATTCCCAGAGCTCCTCACCCACCAGGATGACTGGCCCACACACAGGGAGGCTCACAATGGTCCCCTGCCTCCTCCCCACGGTTCATCTGATGCCACCTCCTACAAAATTGACTCAGAGCCTGAGAAATAATCCCACAGCTGACCAGGAGGGCAAGATTCTGTCCCCAGCCTGCTACTCACCCTGATGGGGATGCAGACAGGCTGATGACCTCTCCAGAGACCTGGAGGTTATGAGGGGAGGCCAGCAGTCAGACAGACCTGCACAGTAGGATGGAGACAAAGTGTTGCAGGACTGAAGGCCTCAGGTATGAGGAAGCCACAGCTGGGAGCTGGGGCATAAGACTGCTGTGCGAGGTTCTGGGTTGTTTACTGGGACTGGGCTGGATTCTCAGCGGAACCACCCTAGCCCTGGGACTCAGCCTACAGCATTCAGAAGGCTGAACTCCCGACAGCCCATCAACCAGGCATTCCCACCTCCTGGGAGAGCAGCAGTTCCCCACACCCACTTACCAGACCCTACCTGGGTTCCTCCGTTGTCTGAGTCTGTGGGAAGGTCCCAGCTCCACATCTAGCCTGTATTAGGGCATTGGAATTGGGAAGACCCAGTTTTCCCCCAACCACTAGTGGGTCCTGCTGAGATGGAGTGGGCAGTACCACACACACTCACCTCTTGGTCCTGATTCTGGGTGACGATGAAGCCCAGAAACTCCCTGCCCGCTCTGGGTCTAATGGGAATCTGTACCATCGTGGCTGTCACATCCCTCCTGTTTCTTCCAGGTGAGGGCACTGCTTGAAGGATTTAGAGGATCCTTCTCGCGCTGTAGAAGGTCCAGTCCAGTCTGAAAGGTTCCACAGGAGCCCAAACAAGATCCACATACACAGATCTTAAGTAACAGAGCCTCTAGAGGTACTGGCTCACTGTCCCTTTCCCCAGTGGAACACATAGGCAGGGGCATTGGCCCTGGGGACCCAGCCACTGTATAAAGAGGCTTCCTCTCCCCAGTGACCTGGGCCCTCATGCTGGTCCCAGGTCACCAGCTCATACCACCACATCCTCCAGTGAGGTTCCTCCCCGTGTCCCTAGTGCCTGACCCAGAGGTTTCAGCCTAGGGAATCTGAAGTCTGTCTGAAGACTAGGGCTGGCCAGGAAAAGCCACTGCTGCCTAGGTCTCAGGAATGGCCAGGGTCACAGGAACTCGGGGAAGGGCTGCACGCCCTCTAGTGGACACTTCCTGCTAGAAGCGCAGAGGGGCCGGGGAGGGGAGCGTTGAGGCTGACCTTGGACAAATTCGGAGGTCGGAAGTGTTGGTGCAGGTGGCAGGGGCTGAGGTCTGGGGCATGGCAGGAAGGGTGAAAGGAACTGGTGAAAGGAGACTCCAGGGAAATCCAGGGAAGGACAGAAAGCAGTCACCTCTCCACAGACTTTCACAGTTGCTCATGCTTGGGGGACTGTCTGTACCTTGAGAGGGTTTAGCTCCATCTAGGAACTCCGACCTCTAAATTCCCTCTGCCTGGCGTGACCATCAAAAATGTCTCCAGACACTGCCCAGTGTCCTCAAGGAGGCAAAACCTGCCCTGGCTGAGACTCAGTAGTCTACACCTGTCTTCAAAAACACACAACACCTTGGCCAGAGATTTAGCTCAATGGTGCTGCCACCTGCCTCGCAAATGCAAGATCCCAAGATTGATCCCCAGTACAAAAAAAAAAAAAAAAAAAAAAAAG